CACACACCCACCTCAATCTTCAAATTCACACACACGCCGGTGGCAACAAAATTACTGAAAATTATGCAGTGATAACCCATATGACTCGAAAACCATGCCTATAAGCTGAACTGGATACACCAAATCAGTAGCGAAATCCAACTGCTAATTGTTTTGTCCAAAAGTATAGCCAAATCGGACTCCCACGAACATATGCATGGCGGAATAACATTATGATCCACAAATATCTAAAGCGAGGGTCAATGGAATTCTGGATAACTCATAATATTTTCACAAAATAAGCAGGAGTCAATTATCTCATTTTCATCAAGTCGGTATAACACTAAGTGCCTGATAATACTAATACCAGATGTGCAACCGTAGCATCATGACAACCAGCAGTGCGTGGAAATAAGCTGCGTTCAAAATAACACGGACTTACATGGTTAGTGAACATGCTATCCTTCCCGTTGTCTTAAACGTCACCAACTGAACTCCTGCACGATTCCAATGTATTAGAACCACATCACATGCTGAATGATTTGCAATAATACCTAAATACAATACTCACGATACAATCTATAGTGGCTACATATGAAACCTAGCTGTGAACCAAACACTTTTTAGTAATCACCTAGCTTACTAATTAGTTTGTCATCACTTATGACACTGATTATACAGCTTGTACACGCCTAAACGCCCTTGACATTTCTATAGTTGTGCCACACACACATACCCAGTCCAGTTCAGTTCAATTGCCCCTAGGAATTAAGCACAAACAACAACAAGGAGCACCAACCAAAGTGAAGAGGAACGCAAAGGTAGCCGAGCGCTGGAGGCAGCAGGCGTCCCTGTCTAGCACACTGCGGCAGCGCGTCCTCGTTGGTAGCGTGGTGCATGGCGAGTGCCGTGGAAAGTCCCTGCGCTGCCTGCTCAGGCCCCTCGCATCGCCGCCGCCGTCCATTACCTCGCCGTGGAGAGAGAGATGGGTCAGGTGCGTGATCGTGGGTTAGTGGCGGTGCAGAGATTAAGGAAGAATCCTTCCCTGACACCGAGCCGAGGCGAACAAGCGCCGCACGGAACGGACCCCCCGCACCCGCACCCACACTGCCGACCCGCAGAGGCGAGGCTCAATGACTGGCACAATGGCACAAAGGAGAGGGTGTGGGGAGGAGCGAAAGGTGGAGGGGGAGCTGGGGGCGCTACGTGGCGTCGCAGAGGAGGCGGCGACACGACGGAAGGCAGATGCAGGGCTACGATGCACGGAGGGATCGGGGGCGCTCGCAGCGGCCGGCACACAGAAGGTGATCGACCGGCATTCAGGAAAGCGCAGCGGATAGGTTGGAGAGGGCAGGGGACATATGTGTGTGGTCAAACCGACTCAAAACCACGATCCATCCCCTTACGGGTGGGGCCACAGGCGCCGTTTAAAACCTCGATTAACCACAGGGCAGTAAATCCTGGGAGCTTAGTAACTGTACTAATGCCATTGATGAAGACCATGGGGGCGGTTTATTTGATTTCTGAAGTGAATTCGCACCGCTCAAATGTTAGATTTTCAATGTTATGCTATCGATGAAGACCGTGGGGATGGTTTATTTGATTCCTTGTATTATATAAAACGTGAAGTGCTTGGATTGGAAAGTTTACCACTTATGGACGATAACTCCAAGGTGCATGAAATGTATTGAATCCAGTCCCTCTGTACTGGCTAGAAATGAGAAAGATCAAGGGAGAGAACCATGGTATGGTAGCAATTTTTTGTAACTAGCACATGCAAACACAAGAATCGTCCATAGTATCTCCGTTGAGTAAGCAGCTAGCTTCAAGAATCCGGTGTATCATGAACGGGGCAAGTACATTGACGCGCGTTACCACTTCATCGAAGAGTGCATCACAAGAGAGAAGCTGGATGTTGATTATGTTGGCACCGACCTTCAGTTGGCTGACATCCTCACTAAAGGGCTCGGACGTGTCAAGTTTGTCA